GAAACTATTTTCGAACGCATTTATAGGGTTAAAGTTAGGTTCCCTTTTTATTAGAAATTCCAGATCAAAATACTTTTTAACTTGGTCAAGTACTTTATTTCTTAAAAACAGGTTTATTACTTTAACGCAATGCACGCCTTTTTATAAGTGACGATAAAAAGGTATGATTAATAGAGTAAACTCGGTTCTGATTACGCGAAAGCGACAATTCCTGTTAAATTAGTTCTTTTCTTTAGTAGAAAATATTGCCCTATAAGTAGTTCTATTCTGAAGCATTGCGAATATCGTCTGACTATGTGAATTACATTTGACCCCACTTTTATATCTAAAGTTTATTTCACCGCACTTTACTTTCTTGCATTCTCAATTCCCTGTTTAATATTAACTTAGCTAAACACCGTAACAATAGGAAACAATAGATTGACGATTGGTCTCTGTGGATCGATAATATTTTATATTACTCTGACGCAATTTGTACACTTGCGAATAAACTGCATCAGGATTACCAAACACCAAAAGCTACAACATGATCATAGTTTTACAGGTTGTGCAAGATACAAAGAAGAGTGATACAAACTAATTGATTTCTAAGCAAAGTACCAATCCTAATTAATTACAAGCTAAAGAAGTCTTCTTCTCCATGTGCCAGGCCTTGTCACTCGATCTTTTCCATTTCTTCACCATTGCCCTCCATTTTTTCAACCTACATGAAGGTATTTCCTTGGTGCACCTTAGGCCAAACCTGCAAATCATTAAGGAAGCCAATTGAGCATTAATAAGGGACTCAAAATATGTACAAACATATGATCAACAAGCAGTCAAATGTCAAATATTGCAATTATATTTCAATGAATATTAACAATTTCAAAAGAAAGGTAAAGTCACCAGGGTAAACCCACAAATTGCACAGTAATTTTCACTTTATAGTGGTGATGTCACCAAAGTGGCTGGACCGTAATTTTGAGCTTCTAGAAGATCATACAACCTACACCATAACAAACTTAATCCAGGTTCCCTAATCTACCCTTGAACAACTCACTCATATCAGCAATTAGTCCCCACAAAATTTGAAGAATTATCTCCTTTTAACAGACTTGATTTGATCCCAAGGGCTAACTCATCGATTAAAAAAATTATCCATGTGTGTGAAGGAATATTCTCATTCCTTCACATGTACCCTAAGCGTCTCATTCACTCTATAAATAGCAGTTCTCTCACCAATCATTGTAGACACTGAAAACCCTACTGATACCCTACAAAAATTCTCATTGAATCTAACCTAAAGCTCCTATCTGACACTTACTGAGATTCATATTGAAGTTCAAGTAAGCCAAGCTAAGCCTCTACCTATAGTAAACCCAAATTGCATAAGGAAGAAAAGAAATAGAGGACAAGGAAGAATACGTGAAGGTGGTTTGAAGTTGATTCATTCACATTTATGGTGTTTCCTTTATCGTTTTACCTTGCCTTATCTTTATTTTGTTTTACTTGTTGTCATCTGATGTAAATTGTATGATGTAAATGGGAAATGAATTATGTAAAGTGGGTATGCGACTGTTGGGGTGTGTTTTATTGTTGTGTGATTTCATTTTGCTGCAGGGTTGCTTGATTGTTTGTTTGCCTGCATTTTCAAGCTATTATTGTATATTAGAATGGGTTTTTTATTTGATTTTGGGGTTTTGATATGAGATTTGAATTTAGGGTTCAGTAGTTTTGGGGTTTTTGATTCAATGTGTTTGAGTTTTAATTTCATATTAAGCTTTGATTTCAATTTTTTTATGTGCTTGAATCACTGCTTTGGATGGTGTTGAGTTTTCACGGTGGATGTTGCAGTGGTGCGACAGTGTAAGAGGCGTCTGAAGTCAGGGTATGAAGAGAGAATGAGAGATAAAGGAGAAGAAGAGAGATATTTAGGGTTTAGAATGAAAGAGAAATCAAGTTATGGGTTTAAATCCCAGAGGTTTGGGTCAGGGTCAGACCTAACCCGGATTCCCTTTTAACCCGACTGGTCTTTGCACCCTGGGATTTTTTGTTTGGTGTTTATTTTTGTTGTTATTCGATCTTTACCCCCTAACTCTGGGCGCATCCACCCATTGAGTTCTCCATCACCCATTTCCTTTTTTTTATATTTATTTTCTTCTTTTATTTTATTTTTGCTTTAGTTTTTCTTTCAAATAAAAAAGGCTAAATAAATTTTATTTTATGAAAAAAAAATAGTCAGAGGCATGACCTTTTATTCCACTTAATTTCCTTTTATAAAAAACATCTCAAAAGATTTTAAAAAAATCCTCTAAGGCTTTAATCTCTTTCTTAAAATAAGTTTGATTCATTTTTTAATTAACTGTGTTTTACTTGTTGTGCGTGAATGCTTGCATGTATGTAGATATCTTGTCCATGATTGTTTAGCCCATGTACTTTGAACTTTTGTTTGTAAATAAGATAAAAGTGGATGTGTGATATTATCAATATTTCATAATAAGATTCAAAATGCTTTATCAACATCAAGTCGTTTTTTCTAATTCATTACACATTTAAGCCAATTTTCAATTTCAAGCGCAAATAAAATCTTTGGTCAACACCAAACTTTTCCCGCATAATCAAATTTGTTTTTAAAACCTTTTTACAGTAAACTTGGAAGGATAAGGAATGGACGAATGTACATTTATTTTGTTCTCTGAGTATCAGAGGTTAAGTGTACACTTTGCTCGCACCGATTACTCGCCTTCCTTAAAAATAAATCTTTCTAAATAAATTTTTGGATGAAAAAGGGAATGAGTAAATGTACATTAGTTTGTTCTTCGAGTATCAGAGGTTTATTGTACACTTTGATCACAACGATTACTCGTCTTCCACTCTAAAATCAATCTCGACCAATCAAATCTCTTTTTCCTCCTTAGTGCGATGTTAAACCATGTTCATAAACGAAAAATGCTTCGCCAATTCCAAGATGATGCAAACAAAGCTTCGTTCATACTACATGAGAATAGTGAACATTTTTCGCTCGAATATGACGAGGACATAAATATGTGATAATCCATATTATGTTATCCATTCTTGATGAGTTGCAAATGTTCACTTCTCCATGTTTTGAGGTAGTAAGCAATATTTTCCGTTCAAATACAATCGAGTACCTCTCACTAAAATTGGCCAACCAATAAACATTTGATACCATAAACTACAAGGCTATGATTTCCCATTGCACTTGGAAATACGTAGGCACGGGATTTTGAAGTTTTGTTGAGCATAATAAGAAAAAACCCTTTCTTTCTTCTCCCTCGCGTAATAAGTAGAAGATTACAAGTAAACATCACGCTAACATTCTCTCACAAGACTAACTAAATAGATCACATTGAGTAAAGAAAATGTGAGGGTACTAATATATTCCCCTTTTATAACCGACTCCTGAACCCTAATTTAGTTGCTATGACCATATCATCGTTCTTTGTGGATTTTATCAATATTATCACTTTCCTTTTAGAATAATTTATTAGGTGAATTAGGTAAAGGTAGGTTGGTTGCGAAATGGTTAAGCACATTGACTTATAGACAAAGGCATATGAGGCTTGCTTAGTTTGTTTATAATGGTAGAGTAGTGATGAAGAATTGTTGGAGTTCGATTGAGAATGCCTAAGCACTCGACTTATGGTAACATGAGGAAATATATATGCATAGGAACACCTAAATGAGGGAGGTGGGAGAAAGAACTTCAATTAATTTTTTTGACCAAACTTTTGTTTTGTCTTTATTTTGAAATTGTTTTCTAGTTGCTTGATTTTATCTTTTTAGCATGCATCACATACAATCAATCAAGAACACAAAATAATAAATACTACACTATTAAATCATTCATGGGGAGGGGGATACATTTTACCCACCTTGGGGGGATGGAGCACTCACTACAATATTACAATTGCTCAAAGGAAATTAAAAGCAAAATTTAAACGATTAAAAGTACAACAAATAAAATGGCAAGATAACATCCAAGGAGGGTGATCCAAGGCTTCCAAAATGTACCTCACAATCAAAGTAGAGAGTTTGTATGATGCATAAAATGATGCATGATAATTGATACAAAAAATATGGACAAGAATTAAGATCAAGAAACATATGCTAAAACCCTAAAAATTCACATGAAAATTAAAGGAATTCAAGCACATTTTTATGATAATTTATGAACACAAATCAAAGACCAAGAAATTCCTAATTAAGATCAGAATCTAAACATGTTTATTATCAAAATTATTGGCAAAAATATTTCACCAAGAATCAATCAAAACACATTTACAAACTTCATGTATATTCAAGGGAATTAGGAATCGATTTCAAACGTTTTTACGAGATTTGTATGACTAAGATTAGAGGAAAACAATTAAACACATACCTAAGGTCCAGGAACTTCTATTTAATCAACCATCATGCCAATAACATTGAATCATATGAGAAGAATCGACAAAAGTATCAAGAAAACCTAATTTCTAACATATTCCAACATTAATTTTATTAAATCCAAAAAAAACTAATGGAAAAAACACAAAAAATTATATCTAAGTCAGGGACTAACCTATTGATGTTTACACAAAATTTCATGCAAAAATCATGTAAGGAAGTATAAAAAATTAAGAACTAAGTGACAATTAAAGAAAATATGGTGGTGTAGTAGATCAGGGAAGGTATGAATAGAAGGAAATTCGTTGGTAAGCCCAGGCGCATCTGGCCCAATCCAATACATCAATGTCCAAACATTTTCCATCAATTTTTGTTCATTATTATTAAATTAAAGAAAAAGAAAACAGAAGAAATAAAAATATAATGCAACGTTTTGATGGAAGTTATGACGTTTCACCTCTTATCCTAATCAATTCTTACTTTTTCTCGTTCTTTTTCATTTTAAACACCACGTGATTTCCGGCCGCCGCAGAGGGAGAGGGAGAGGGAGAGAGTAAATGGTGTTGGTTGTGAAAAATGGTAAAAAAATGGTGGAGAGGATGATATTGGCTGGTTCAGAGAGAGAAGTGTGAAAGAATTGGTTTTGAATTGCTTCCCATGAACTGGGTAGTGAATGCAAGGCTATTTTCTTTTATTTTGCGGTTCTGTTTCCTTCTCGAATTGATGGCTCTTGGGATTTGTACTGTGATGCAGGTTATGGATCTGTTAAGGCAAAATAAGGATACATTTGTATGGAACTGTTTTTCCTCTTCTTAATTTCCATTTTTTTATGATGGATGATGCCTTGTATTGTTGAACTGCATGGTTGTTTCTGTCCAATTTAGGTATGCTGAACTTCATGTTGTATCCTTGATGAGCCCCTTTTTATTGAATGCAGGTTTCTATGGGCAAGGCAGCGATATCGATGACCTTTATGTGAAGCAAGTTACAACAAATGCAAGTGTTGGTCACATCTTCTGTTGCCAAATTGCAAAACTCATGAAGCACGACGGAAGAGACATGGGAAATCCTAGGACTAAGTTCCAACTTGGTAGTCATATATGATTCTTTTTGTATGGAGGAATATAGTGTAATAGCTTGAAATATTTGTAATGGTTATTGAGTTTACTTATTAGTCAAGTAAATCTCATTTGTACATAGTTTCAGTTAGTTACTTGTATAGTTTCTGTTTAGTTTGTTAAAGGTCGTTAGGAGTTTGTTAGTTTGTTATTGAATCAGTTAGTTAGTTATTGATTCAGTTAGATTAGATAACTTGTATATAACTACCTAATGTATCACTCTTCCATTCATGAAAGAAGAATGAGAGCTTATTTACCTATGAGTTTCTACAAATTTTACATGGTATCAGAAGCAAAATCACAGTTCCGCACATTTCTTCATTGCTTTCTTCCTCATTCAACAATGGCAGCAATGAATCATTGTTGATTGTTCATTGTTGATTGTAGTCTCAGTTTTTCTGCTCTCAGATTTGTGATCTTCTTTGATCTTACTTGCTAGTTTCTACTTGTGTTTTCTTCTTGATTGAGTTCAGAATCGGTTTTCTGGTGATTTGAAGCTTTCTCTTCTGCACCAATGGCAGCTCGGATTCAAATCACAACCGCGAACCTTCAAGATTCAACGCATGATTACTACATTCACCCTAATGAGAATCCATCTCTGGTTCTTGTTTCTCCGATCCTTGATGGTAGCAATTACCATGGCTGGGCTCGAGCCATGGAAATGTCATTGCAGATGAAAAATAAATTTGGTTTTGTGGATGGTTCGATTCCAAGGCTTGCAGACAATGATCCAATGCTTTCAGCTTGGAAGAGATGCAATAATCTGGTGCTTTCATGGATCAATCATTCAGTGTCATCCGAAATTGCAACTAGTGTTATATGGCTTGATTCTGCAACTGCTGTGTGGAAGGATCTTAAAGCACATTTTTCTCAAGGTGATTCTGTTAGAATTTCTCATCTTCATCATGAATTGTATTCTTTGAGTCAAGGTGATTTGTCTATTACTGCATATTACACTAAGATGAAGATTCTATGGGATGAGATGTGTAATTACAGAACTATTCCTGCTTGTTCTTCTCCAACTGCTTGTTGTTGTGAAGCTGTGAAAACTTTCAAGCAGTATAGAGATAATGATTGTGTTCTTTGTTTCTTGAGAGAATTGAATGATAATTATGCTGCAGCTCGATCTCAGATTCTGCTTATGGATCCCTTACCAGATCCGCCTAAGATCTTCTCCATGGTGATTCAACAGGAAAGACATCTAAGCATTAGTGTGCTTCCTGATTCTGCAACTATGATGGTTCAGGATAATTCTTCTCAGGCTTTACCTTCTCAGCATACTGCTTCCGGTAAAGGCAAATCTTCATATCAGAAATCTTATGGCAAATCTAACAGGCAGTGCACACATTGTGGAAGACAGAATCACACAGTTGATACTTGCTTTCAAAAGCATGGTTATCCACCTGGATTTCCAAATGGATACAAGCCAAAGAAGGCTTATAGTGCTACCACAGGGGCCGATGCATCAGTTGATGAAGAGCAGTCTATTTCTTCAGGCTTGGAACTCACAAGGGAGCAACTTCAAGGTTTACTAGCTTTGCTTCCTTCCTCTAAACCAACAGCTACCTCACATTCTTCCAATCTTGTGAGCACTCTTAATGTCATTACCAATGGCATAGGTAAGTCCATTATTACATTGCACTAGATCATGGATTCAGGTGCTACAGATCATATAGCATGTTCCTTACATTTCTTTGTTTCCTATCATGCTATAAATCCTGTTCAAGTTTCTTTACCAAATGAAGCCAGTGCAGTTGCACATTACATAGGGACAGTTATTCTTTCTCCTACCTTGATTTTATATAATGTCCTTTATGTTCCTAGCTTTTCTGTCAACTTGATCTCTATCTATAAATTGACCAAAACTTTGCCCAACAGGCTTGTTTTTAGTGACAATTATTGTTATGTACAGGACAAGATCACCTTGAAGATGATTGGGAGAACTGAGATCAAGAATGGCCTTTACATCATGCAATTACCTCCATTTCCTCAAGTGCAACCTTTAGCTTCTTTTCATACTGTTTGTATGGCCAAATCATTACCAACTTCTATGCCTCATGTTTGGCATCATAAATTAGGCCATCTTTCTTCTAGTTGTTTTGAAAAACTTCACAAATTGTATCCAAATATACCTTTTACTCATTGTGATCCTTGTGATTCATGTCATTATGCAAAACAGAAAATATTGTCTTTTCCATTAAGTACTTCTGTTTCAGAAAACATATTGTCTTTGTTACATGTTGATATTTGGGGTCCATATTGCCATGCTTCTATAACTGGTGCCAAGTACTTTTTAACAATTGTAGATGACAAATCTAGGTTTACTTGGATCAAGTTATTGAAGAATAAATCAGAAGCTAGATTAGCATTACAGAATTTTATTGTTTATGCACAAAAACACTTTCAGAAACCAGTTAAGACAGTAAGAACAGATAATGGTCTAGAGTTTCATATTCCTGATTTTTATAACTCTCATGGCATTAAACACCAATTAACATGTGTAGAAACCCCTCAACAAAATGGGGTTGTTGAGAGGAAACATCAACACATTTTGAATGTGGCTAGGGCTTTGATGTTTCAGTCCAAATTAATAATTCATTTTTGGTCCTTTGCTGTCCTTCATGCAGTATACTTGATTAATGTCTTGCCCTCAAAAGTTCTTTCTTTTCAATCACCACATATGGTTCTACATAACATCAAACCTGATTTAGATAGCTTAAGAATTTTTGGTTCATTGTGTTATGCAACTACCATTACAGCTCATAGAACTAAATTTCAGGCAAGGGCTAGGAAATGTGTCTTACTAGGATTTAGTAATATGAATGCTTCCTTGAATCAAGTGTTGAATGATTCACAATAGAATTTGAAATGGATAATATTTTGATGGAACTTTGAATAATATTGAATGGATGTTGCTTGAAAACCTTTAGAAGAATGAATCTTCCAACTTGCATGCTGAGAACTTTGAACTATGCCACTTGATTAATTCAAACACATTAAGAACTTGAATGGATTTTGAGTATAACTTTGGAGGAATGAATATGCCTTACAATTTGAATTAGAACTTGTAACTTATCCTTCGATCTCAAGATAAACCACAATTGGATTACTTATACTTTAAGAAACTTCGATTATTTTGATAAGTCTTCAATTCTAAATTCCAATGAAAAATTCAAATCACCTTGAGCCTCTAACTTCAAATTTCCAATTATTTTGTAGTTGAAGTAACATGTTCTTAATGAGAACAAAAATTGTCTTGATCCAAAACAAATCTACAACTTCACCTTCGTATTAGAACTCAATTCAATCCATAAAATACTTTGTCTTGACAAATCTTCTTCAAATGAATGATCTTTAGTTCCTTCGTTGATTTCATCAAATTGAATGAACCCATGGTTGAAAGCCCAAAGATTTGTATAAGATCTAATAGGAAGGCTTATAATCCACTTAATAAGGCACCACTTCAATTGATAATGAGGACCAAAATGAGCATGAAAACTCTATCTTGCCATGTACGCACCAAGATCTCTTCAATACTTGTATTTTAAACAATAGTGAAAACTTTTTGAATGATGAGATCCACTATAGAACAATCCTCACAAGGAACCCCTCTCGAAGAATACATGATTAGTGAAATAAACCCTAATTAAGTATTGATGTTAAGCACAAGAAGAACTTCAAGAACCTCCATGCACTAGCTCATAGCCTATTGGAACGTGAATTCCAAATTGACAGTCTGGTATTAAAAAGAAATAACAGAGATTCTCACGATGGCAAACTCGCTGCGAACTGGAAAGGCTCCTATCGCGTCATAGAAAACGGGATTTTCTCTCTTAAAAATAAGGACGGGGAAAAACTTGTTCGACCTTGGAACACCGAGAAACTGAAACAATATTACAGTTAGGCCTTAACAGTCGGTGTGTCTCGCTCAACGACGAGGGAACACGCTCCGACCACAGAGACATGCTCAGATACAAGCAGAACCTCCCAAATATAGACGAAAGACAAGTTTCTGCTTCGTGACAAGCAGACTCTTAGCCCGACGTGGATACCTCAACCGAGCTCCGTCGTTGTCGTACCACGTTGGCAGAACACCCAATTCGCGATGAGAAGTTCACGCCGCGAAGCTAAAAACCTCGACCGAGATCTTTGCTACCGCCACCAGTCCGGAATCCTACTCCGATCACTCGATAAGTTTCCCACATTGTCGAGCAACAACGTCGTTTACGCAAGATCCCTCCAAAACACTTAGCGAAAATAATTCGCAAACGAGCTTTTATCATAGGCTGCTCAAACCAACGAACAAGCCAAATGCTCAACACGAGCACAAGCTCAACTGACGACCACCGCGGGCACAAACAAAAATTCATCTTGCGCAAAATCTCCTGCTCCTCCTTTACGCTCGAACTAACTCTAAGTCCTCACTCCTCTGTCTAAGAGCAACGACTTGGGGGGCTCCTGTTATAGACTGAACCTATGATTGCACGACCCATCTTGCCCATACGTCGAGGACACTCCAATCCATTAGGGTCCAAGCTGAAGGCACGTTCTCCATGTGCTCCTCACCCCGAGGACACCATGTTTTGGACTGAGCCTATGATTGACCCACTGTCGGGCACTGCCCATCTTTCCCATAAGTCGAGGACGACCCAAACGATAGCTCAATCCATTAAGGACAACATAAAGCATCTTTCTCGCGTGTCCTTCTCTTGGAGACACGTGGCCAAACAGATGTCGCTCATCTCGTATAAGTGGCGACATGCATCACTGCCCATGATAACGATTGGTTTCGGGCATCTATGCTCATGATAACAGCTAGTCCGGGTATCTTTGTCCATGATAACGACTAGTTTCGGGCATTGTCTTCTCAGGATAACGAACACGAGCTGCTCGTCCTTGCTTTCACGGAGAAATCCTGACAATTACCTATTTTTAGACCTGGATTCTGGATGTCCAGCCCATAATAGGAACCAGTGGTCA